AAGGGGCTGCTGCAGCTGCTGTAAAGCTCTGAAGTTAAATATTCAGCAATTGATTCAGAGCGAGGTAATGTAAATCCTTAACCGACTGCAATCAGGAAAACCAGCTTGTGCGATTGCTCTCTAAACAGAACTAGATGTCCTGACAAGTTGGTTTCAATTACACTGAGTCCAAATGACGTGGCGTTTTTCGGAAAGGGAAAAGGCCTGTCTGTTGCCAACAGAATGTTCACTGAAGCTCCGGTCTGCAAAACATCACCCACTAAACTCAATTCACGTGAAGTAATACATCGAATTGGCTCTGAAAAGAGAGGCAGGTGTGCAGCTGAGTTCCTGCCCTCTCGCCAGATAATGTGCATGAGTGATGTGCGACCTCCAGCAGCTTCCAACAAAAAAGTGACCTTCTCCTGAAGAGATCCGACTACATGTCAGAACAGATTCTGTGAGGAGTGATTGAACTGTTTGTTTTTGTGTCGTCGAGACAATGGCACTGGCAGCTTAAACTGCTCACGACAACCTGCTGGGCCTCCTTTCAGTGCAGCAGCTCCCCTAAACTCTTTTCAGCATCTCATTGCCTTTGCTAAATAATGGAAACCTGCAACGGGACTGTGAATGGACAACTAGGCAGCAGCACGCCACATGGATTACTTTTCTCCACACCTCATCCATTACCAAGCTCCACCAGGTTAAATCTAAGTGTGACTCCGTTTTTTCATGGAGCACCATTTGTTTGTGTTATTCATTTGTCTTTTATCTTTCTTACTCTCATTGACTCTGTTTCATTAAGCATGTGTGTATCTGCACGAATGAGGGAATTGGGACTTTTGCCACCCCTACTTCTCACAAATGTGAAGGGATAGTAAATATCAGCGCAGCAGATGGGGCTGATGCTCCCTCTCTGCCTCTCTCCCGCACACAGAGAGGGCAGAGCAAATGGATAGCCATCAACAGCAGCAGGAGTCGCCCCAGGCCAAGACTGGAGCAGAGGACACGGGGACCGGACTGTTGCTCAGGCAGGCAATTTTACAGACAAATTCTCCCTATCAGCAAGGGAACTGCACACCATTAGGACCGAATGCTTATAAGGTCATTGCGTCTAAGATTTCATGGTACACAAGCATGCTGGTGATAAACATGTGGTTTTCTCATCCACATTCATAAGGCAATAAATTATATTTATAGTCCAAGTAGCTTTCTTTTACCTGTTTGGATCATGTTACAGGTCTGTTACACAAGGGAACAACTGCCGGTGTGTCATTTCAATATCTGTCAGACACCTTGCAGGATCTGTAAAGCACTGGCAGTGTGTAACAGCATGACACGCTTGTATAACAGGGAAGGGCAAAGGCTTGTTTGGCCAATACCGGTGTGGGCGCCGGCCCCGATCACCCTGATCTGGACAAAGTCGCGTAAACCTTACCTACTTTTCATTTAATAAGCAGGTTTAAATTTAGAAAAAGGCATTGTTATTGTTGTTGCGAAAGCGCCAACGAGGAGAGCACATATACAAGTATTCCCACAGCAATATTAGACAGCCTCCCACTGGGAGGGGAGGAAAACGTGTGGATCAACGATGACACAACATGGAATCTTACTGCGCAGCGGCACAAGCTAAGCGGTGATGTAATGCATTTGAGCTCAGTGGGAGAGGGAAAAAAAAAAAAGATGTGAATAAATCATAACAGGGCTTATTATTTCTGGATTTAACATCAATGGACTGAGATAGCAAAGAGTCACAGAGGGGTTATGCAGCATGGGTCTCTATATAGGTGTCACAAACAGTATTTGAGTGTAACGTTCCAGCTCATATGAATAATTTATTGTTCAAAAGAATGTAAATTACTTTTTGTCACTGCGATCCTCCACATCTGCCAAAGCTGGAATTCTTGAAAGATAGTATCTCACTCGGAGTCTTCTAAGCACGGAACATTTCCATTTATTTATTTCAGGCGGAAATAGAAGGAAATTTTAACGGGTCACTAATTTCATTTCAACGTGTACCAGTGGTATTAGTCCTGAGCCAATATTTCAGAGGAGCACAAAATCAATGTTGAAATTCTACTGGGAATAGTCCTGGAACCCATTAGCAACTTTGACCAATAGGTCAGGTAAAGTAATAGCTAGATAAATGTTTCATTACAGATTTGCAAACTGACTTAATAGCGGGGTACTATCTGGGCAGCCAGGCATGGCAAAAATTCATCACCAGATTTTATTGTTGTTGAATTGAGCACAAATATCTCAGTGGCGAGAAAAAGGTGGGTCTACACAGCCTCAGAGGACGTCTGAGCTTGCATCTGTTGTCCTCCTGAGGCACACAGACACACAACACTGGGAAGATGTAATCACTGTCAATTGTGCGGCCATTTACAAGAACCAATCTTATTCTGATTTGAACTTTTTATTCTATTCACTCAGATGCATGTCCAGATTTAAGAGGTTTTTTAGTCCTTGTCACAGTGAAATCTTGTTAATATTTTCTTTGATTCAGCTAAAATTCTAGGTGGACAGACTTTATGCTGTAAGCGAAAAGTCCTGTCCACAAAATCTCAAACGTGGATTCATTTTAAGCTATATTTATAGTTTTAATTTATCTAGAGCTTGTGTGCCTGATTTACACAAAAAGCCAGTTCAGATCTCTCTAAATGGAGGTACACAAGAATTTTGCATCAAATGAAGAATTAGAAAAATGTAATTGTTTTTATTTTATGATCTTTTAATATTTTTTGGGATAAATTTAAATCCTATATGCTTTTGACAGCAGCAATGTTTTTTTCCTGTATCGCAAAGATCACATTTAGCAGTTTTTTTCCCCCACTGTCTTCAAGCTGTTCTGAGCTGAGCAGTGTGCTACTTTTCTGAATGAAAGCCAGACAGTCAGTGCTCCCACACCCTGAGAGAAGCAGCTCTTGTTTCCAGCTCCGTTTCCAAGGGGACCACCAAGCCCACCAATCACAGTGCTGAGCGCCAGCAAGCGGGCAATTCAATTTCTTAAAGAAGCAGTGTCCATTTCAGAGGAAGTGCTGTGAAGGCAAGCTCAACATATGGGAAAGAACATAGAGATTTTCAATAGAGAACAGTAAAGCACCTCCACACTGCAGATCAAAAGTGTTTTCCTTTTTTTTTCCTTTTTATTAAATGTGAATTCACATGGTAGTTTGAGCCCATCCATTAAGAGTATCCGCCTACATACAAAATAGGCATCATTCCGTCATCACATCCTTTTCAAACGCAGGAAATAACACATTTGTTTACATATATTCACAAACTGAAAGGACAGTCGATGGTGATAGGTACTTATTTATTAAAAGATGAGTCAAAGACAGATTCACAATTGGAATGTGAAGTAACTACTGCCTAGAACTTCGAACAAAATGCCTTGGCATATAATTAAGTCATATTCCAAAACCTTTTATCAAACAGACTTCATATGTAAGACCCACATAAAAATAAACAATATCTGCTTTTTTAAGTGCAAGAAATAAAAAATACAGGTTTGTGGTTAATGTCTTAAAAAAAGAAGGCAGTCTTCAGTTTTAAAATAAAGTTTCATTTCATGAAACAGGACTATGGAATGTACTTTTTTGCTTGCTTGGTTAAACTAATGCCAGACCACCACTGTATCAGACTACGTCTTGCCTAATTTGCAGTTGAGTTGGAGATTTTTTTATATCAGAAATGCCCATTGTCCAATCCTGTGTGTCGAATAACATTAAAATTATGATATTGATCTGTTTTAATATAGTATGCATCACACCATGAGGCCACATTAAATTGTTTTGTATCAGTTCCAGCTGATTTGTTTATTTTCCTGCCAGGACAGGCTTGAGCATCACAACAGAAATGATGTCAACAGTGCACGAGTCTGTTTTCCCATCACTTGCTACAATTGTTGATGGTCTGTATTTAAAGAGTATATATTGCACAAAAAATGAGATGGGGGGAAAAAAACAGTATGTGCCATAAAAAATACCAAAATCCAGTTTCACACCTGCGATTGGGACCCATCCACATATCACGAGTATGATATACATAAACTCCTAACTTTACTATATTACAGTACATATACAATCTTGAAACTAGTTCCAGCTCTGAGGTATGTGTTCCCCATGATGCCATTGTATTGTCTACAAATACTCAACAAATCTGCTCTACAACTGTACAAAACCTAGTTTAAAATCACAAGGCATTTTTGATGCAAGTTTTAATTTAACTTAATCCTTAAAACCAGGACTCCCTTGCATGCTAAAAAGAAATGATAAAGGGAAGAAGTGCCTGAAACTCACTGAAAGCACAGTAAGAACATTCCCTTTTAACTGTACAAAAATATGCCTGAAAATATCTTACTTTTCTTTTAAAAAGATGAGGTCTGTTATGTATCAAAATGTTACCTCCGCACTTGTACTCTGCAGAGGTTTAGGCTGCTTAATTTTCCAAACCAGGAGGTAAACAGAATCAGTTACAAAAGAAACAAACAAACATTTTTGCGGCATTTAAAAATTACATAAACCGTTGTAAAGTAGCATCCTGAACAAATGTCAGTTCACAGATTTGCTTTGAGACAGTCCACAGTTCGTGTTCAGCTCCCTGCAGTTAATCGTATTTGTTTATTTATTTTTCGTTGTTGTTTTTTAAGAGGAAAGATGCATAGAAGTTCGCGTAATTTTCCCTTTGTGGTCCGTTTTTAAGCTGAACAGTAAAATGCAGACCTACGGGAGGAAAAATCCATAAAACCCTGTCATGCTGCCAGATAAAAAAAAAACGAAGTCTGCAGACTTTGCCTTTTTTTTCTCCTCTTTTTTTTCTGCTACCAGCTTCTTAAGCATCTCATTCCTCAAACCTCACCTCGGCTCATGGTCCTGCGCCTCCCTCTTCGGGACCCTACAGAAAAACCCACAGGAGGCAGGGCTGGGGACAATTTGACCAGAACACATATAATTTCATATCTCCCTTCTCTGTTATTACTAGAAGAACTGTTGTTTTTTTTTTTTTTTTTCTCTCTCTCAGTATGTGAAGACCAGGTCGGAAAAGTTCGCCTCCAGCCAGTCCCCGGCAATCATCTCGCTGAGTTCTGGCGTGCAGTAGTCTGGGAATTCAAAGTGAGAGCCCAGGCTGCCCTCACTGAAAGAGTCCAAGTCCTTATCCACAAGAGACAGGGAGAGGTTTCCTGAATTGGGGTTGCCCAGCTCCGAGCCCGGGGCGTTTGGAGCGAAATTCAAACTAAAGTCAAACAGCAAATCGTCCGCGTCCTCGCCGGAGGAAGAGCTGCTGCTGCTGGACGAAGAGGAGGAAGAAGAGGAGGAGGAGGAGGATGTGGAGACCGACCTGGAGGATGCTGGTGAGACGGAAGCAGTGTGCAATGCGCCCTGCTTGGAAATGTTTTTGATGTTGTAAAAGAGTCTGTTGTGGCTCCGCACTTCTTCGTACATGCTCGCACCCTCGGACTCCGCCGAGGAGCTCAAAGTTGGGCTCGCGGGAACTTTGGCGACGTTGTACGGCCTCAGGCGCTCCTCCTCCCCCGCCTTAATCCCCATCCGGTAGTCGTCTTCGTAGTCGTCGTCGTCGTCCTCGTCGGTGAGCTCGATCTTCACAGTCTTTGTAACTTTTAGGCTGGGGAACACGCAGTCGTCCCCCCCGTAGCCGTGGGAGGACTTGGAGCCGCTCTTTGTCTTGATCTTGGAGCACTTCTTGCTGGACGTCTTGCCCATCTTGCCGCACTTCTCCGGAGACGGCGCCGACGATTTGGAACTGTCGAGCTTTGGTTTTTTCTTGGGTCTGTACTTGTAGTCGGGGTAGTCGGCCATGTGCTTTAGCCGCAGCCTCTCGGCTTCCCGGATGAACGGGATCTTCTCGCTGTCCTTCAGCATCTTCCACCTCTTCCCCAGGCGCTTGGAGATCTCCGCGTTGTGCATGTCCGGCGACTGCTCCATGATCTTTCTCCTCTCGATCTTGGACCAGACCATGAACGCGTTCATGGGTCTCTTGATGTGGCCGGTGGCCGTCTTGCACCAGTCCGGGTTTATCGCCACGGGGCTGCACGCCATAAATTCACTCTCCTCCGAGTCCGTAGCCTCCCTGGACATGCTCCCGTCCGTCTCGCTGTTGTCCGTGTGCTGCACCATTGTCCCTTCAGTTTCAAGTGACTTTTTTTCTGTCCGGGGAACAGCTCCTCAACCGCCAAGACGGCTCAGCTCTGCTGTTTCTGCGCCGGGTCGTCCACGTCCTTTCGCTTAATGTGTCTCAGGCTCTACACTCTTTTTCCAAGAGTTACAAACTGCCTTCTTAACTAGTTATCAGCTTTTTCATGTCCCCTGCGTCACAGACACTCATCCAATCACGTCCCTTGCACTCCGCCCAGCAGACTCCATCCAAGACTCCCCTTAACCCCTTTATTCCTCCCTCCCTCCCTCCCCAGCGCTCATTGGAGTGGAGGTGGGGATTTTGTGTGCTACACAGTGTCTGGGGCAACACGCCGGGCGAGACAAGCATATTAAACACACAGTTAGCGCCGCGCGCTCCTCAGAGAAACACCACGCACCCCCCCCAAAAAAAACGCCCATAAACCAAAAAGACTAATCCCTTTGTTTTTTTTTTTTTTTTTTTTTTTTTTCTAAAAAAAAAAATAATTGAGATTTTTTTTTTTTTTTTTTTACTTCAGATGCTTGGCAAATGTATCAGGAGGAAAACAAATGATCTCGGCTGTGTGGCAGCTTTTTTATTCCCTCCCTCAGGCTGGGAGTACTGAAGGTGGCGCTTGGACACTGTTGCAGGCGCCTGCATGCGTCGCTGCGTCTGCACGTCTGATGCTCAGGGATGTGTTATTACAGCTGCCTACAGATTTAGACTGTGATATTTAATATAACATCACATATGAAACGCGTATCTTTTTTTTGCCTGGTCAATAGCTGTCTCGCCTTTTCTTTTTTTTTTTTTCCTTTTCTTTTTTTTTTGGTCTTGGGTCGTGTCCTTGTCTGCGTTTCAGTGAAAGAAATAGGTCAGTAGCACATTCGTCTTTATATTATCTTTACACTATGTAAACAACCTGCAGAATATGACAACAAAAACGAATGACAAAGCTGGGAAAAATAGGTGATTTGTATGTGCTGTAGAGGCACAAGTATTTTTTTTTTTCCCCCATCGAAAAGATTTCTTATATAGAACATATATAACACTGATTCAGATGGTAGCATTCGCCTGTGCAGTCACTCTGTGAGCCCATACTGACTGGGGTAGATGGAAAGCACCCTGCTGAGTCTGCTGTGTCAAGAGGGAGTGTAGCATCTAGCTGGCGTCTCTTGTACCCCTTCCACTCCTCCCCCATGGCTCTGGGTGGTAGCCAGCAGTGCTATTGGAGGCTGGGGTGATAAGGCGTCCTGCTTTTTCCTCTCTGCTTCATCCCCTAGAGGGCAATCACTTACCCTTTTGAAACCCTCCCCCCACCAAGCCACCGTGTTTTCCCCTGCTGGGGCTTAAGAAGTGTCTCAACTGATACGGGGAGAGAGGCGGCTAGAAAGCACAGACAGGGTAGCAGCGAGAAAGAAAGAGAAAAAAGAGGCACACAAGGGAAGGGAGACAAGGCTAAGGAGAGTGAATCAGTCTGAGGAAGAGAAATGCTTAAATAGATAGAGGGGCTGTTGCCTTCCCACCATCCTTGGGACAGAGAGGCAACCTTCTGTCTGTCCCAGACTGAGATAGAGCTGAAATGCTTTATCATGACCAGCCTGTGCTGATTAAACCTTATCAGATATATGTGTCAGAACCAGAGTTTCAGGAGGTTGCCACATGCAAATGCATGTTTTTTTTTGTAAGATGTTTCTTCCCTGATGGATTCATCTAAAAGGCTCATGGATCTATTTTGACTTAACTAGCAGTATATGATGTCACCTAATTTAAATCCCCCCAAAAATCTTTAAAAATCTACTTTAAATTCAAATGGGGAAAATCAATGCGCCAAAAATAAAATGGCATATTGTTAAAAACAGCGTTGATGGGGAGATACGCTCCCGCCATCCTTCCTCACGTCTGTGTGACGGTTGCAAAAGCCGGACATGAATCACGAGACTGTGTAATGATGAGCATCGGGGTGGCTGTCCTGCTCATTAGCATGGCTCATTATTGGCTGTGAATGAGGTGGTGGTGTCACCCATACAGCCTATGAGTCATCTTAGGGAGGGTCTCATCGCCATGGCTACCTTGCACCAGTGATATAACCACCCCCAACACGTATTCTCCCATCTCACTCCAACTGCCTGGTGCACTCACTGGAGTGAGGGGGGGGGGGGTGGGGATTACTGGAACATGGACTGTTTTCATGATATTTTACTTTAACTGATTACATGTGATTAAACAGTGAAAATCCGCAGATCTCCATATCACCGTGTAATTTCCAACGCTCTTTCCAATACCCCAAAGGCGGATTTTTTTAATGCTTATTTGCTGTTTTTAATGTCAAGGGAAAAGACATTTTATTCCAGAGCGATGGAGTGTTGAATTAAGTGATGGTTTTCATGTTAAAACACTGAAAGAGGGTTTCAGGAGAAACAATTCCCTTTGCATTGCTTATCTAAAAGCCCCCCAAAGCAGCTGCTACTCTCACAAAGGGCCAGTGAAGCGTTAGATCAATACTAACCCTTGCTAGAGGCTATCTGATGCTCAAAATGCATGCATCCATCTCCTCTGCATAGCCCTGAGACAGGTGTGGACTTCTGGAAGCTGCTATCTGATGGCTTCACAATGGGAGAAGAAGAGGTAGGGGGCCAAAGCGGGCAGTGAGGAAACGGGGGTTGTTTTGGTAGCACATGAAAACGCAAATGAACTTTTCACTTGACAGACATCCTTAAGTATCCTATATGGTCAGGTTACAATGTGTATTGCCATTCTGTAAATTGGAATTCTCCAGCTCACTTAATGGTAATCTGGGGCTAGCGTAGGATTTATGTAACAAGTTCCAGTGACGAATCCCCACACCTTTATCTATATATACCTGAAGTCATCTCTGTTAGATCTTTGGACGGAGGGGAAATGTGATTATTTATTAGCTTACGTGTCCAAAGATTTATAGTTTGTTCTCTTATACTAGTCGCAACGGCCCATTTTGTTATCTTAGCTTGTGAGATTTGACCAAAACAAGCTCTTTCAGCTGGCTCAACATTCGTCTCACAGGCTGCTGGCCGCTATGGTCTCATTCCTCAAAGATCACACTGTCCTCCCCACTCCCTCACAAGATAAGAAAAACTTTGACAATGAGGAGGATTTCACAGCAGTTTGGAGGCTGTTGGTTCACCACTTAGGTGTTTAGTGCCTCCAGGGCAGTTTTATGCCCTTTTGTTGCTTTTCATTTTCAACTCAATGCAAATGTATCTCCAGGGTGTCAGGTTCTTTGTTGACCTCCTTGATGTGGCCTCTGTCTCTCAAGGTATGATGCTTAGCGGATACTTGACACTGAAGTATCTTGTTGTGAATGTAAACAGCTGACGTTTAAGCACTTTGCTGGAAATGTTTGTCTCAGGGAGCAACACAAATGCAACCAGAGAACCAGCAATCCTTAACTCATTTCAGGGAAGCATGTGTTAGTTTAAAAATTCAGAAGAAATTTAAAAAAACCTGGTACATTGAATAGTGTAAAAATTAGAGACTATCAAAATTTCTTTCTAAAGAAGGTGGTGAAAAGGATGTTTCTAATAAAGTGTCTGTGGTAAAGAACAGAGGGGTGGTACCTGCTATTTTCTGTTTGTGCCTATACATAGTATATTAAAGAAAAATATATTCAACATGAAATATCTAAAAATCAATACTTGTGCATTTATAATTCAGAAAATCATCATAATAATACAACAATAATTATTTGGATGGTAATAATACATCTTGAAACCAATTCAACTTGGTAAGTTACAAAAAAATCTGCTTTCTCCAACAAATATGTTTGAACCAAATTCAACAACGTCACCATCGGAATGTAACAAACTCACAGAAAGACTATGAACTTGTGATTTATCCATGGAGGGAGTCTCTGTGGGTGTGGGGCAAAGAGATCATTTGCAACTGAATGTGGCCACTAGTCTGTCTGTGCCCTTGAAGACGATTAATATGTGGATTACATGTATACTACAGCCACATATTTACCACATTTATATTGAATCTGAAGCATATAAACAACTACTTACAAAGTTGACCTGCCTTCCTGTTCCTCTCTGTGAAGTTTAGCAACGTGGATCCACAACAACCTGAATGAGATGACCTCATCCGAGAGCAACTCTGGCTCACACAGCACAGTATGTTCCACAATAATCATATTGCCATGTCATTCCCAATAAGCTCTGGCCATTTAAATCCTTTAATTATATACCAGCAGAATTGAAGTTGTGTTTACTGTAAGAGTCCGGTGGAGCTAGTTTTGTGCTGTAAATTGTGTCTCGTGTTAATAAACTTGTGCAGAAGAAGAGCCCTCCGGGTGCTTACAGCCACTGTAATGAGAGTGTGTTTAGTCTGGGGACCGTAGGACTAATGCTGATGGATTGTATGGCTGCAGGTCAGGTCTTGCTCTCTCACACACTGGTGGAGACAACAGAAGGAGAGAGGGAAAATTGTCCACTTGTGAAACATAATGCATGACACGCCAAGATAAAATTATTATTACCTTGTTAAAACAAGCTAGATGAAAACCACACAACATTACCATAGAAATAACAAATGGGGCCTTTGTTTACTGTTGCTGTCCGTTTGGTGCTGGAAGGCAAGAATAATTAATCAATTTAGTCCCTATGACTAAACAAGTAGCTTCAGAGAAACAGATCTGTTGATCAAGTCTCACTAGAGGAGTTGATTTCTAAGAAGTGCAGGACTTTTCAAAGTGAAGCCACGTAGCTTTTCTTCCTCACCAACCAGCCTCAACTTGCCCCTTCACCAGATAAGATAGTGTTGACTACAGGCCAGTGTATGTCGAGTCTTATGTGGGGCCTCTGCTGTGCTTAGTCACACTCATTCGCATCCTGTGCTCTGAAGTTTTACTGGTTTATGATCTTTGCACTGGCAGTTGAATAGTGACAGTTCAAAGCAGCATGACAAATTGAGAATCCAAGCCCTGTGGACAAAACTTAAGTAGGATCTTTTTTCAGGCCTTAAT